AAAAAAAAAAAAAAAAAACAACAAGTGTTGTTTGAAGAAAATAGTTCCGTGATGAAGGTTTCGACGATCTAACAACTTCAAACTATCGACCCAATGACATGTAACATGAATATACATGCGTTATCAAGTAAATCGATCGAAAAAACCATAAAGAAAGCGCGTTTTGTGACGGGAAATAATTATAACGAATGTACATTCGTTATAACATTGAAATAACGACTGTACACTCGTTATGGTGGTTTTACAAACATTTTACATCATATTTCTATTTTTTTAAAAAAAAACAAGTGTTATTTAAACATTTCGTTCCAATTTTCTATATGACCAACATACAATCGTTAACACGTATATGACCAAGGAAGCAAGTATCATTATTTCACAAAATGAGTTTTGTCGCAACTACAAAAAAAAAAAATAAATAAAAGGCCCGCGACAGGCCGTCGCGCGGGTCTGTAGGTCCATATTTTGTGTCGCAACTATATAACCGAGTCAAAACAATACACCAAAAGTGAAAACACTATAAGTCAAAAGCAATACACTAGTCGAAAATATAACCTCACGTCGCTTGATTGAGGTTAATCTCCTCACACTTTCCACGATTATGGCCGGGTTTTGAACACTTTCTACATTTACGCATTTGGCGAGGTTTAGAAGTTGATTTTTTTCGAGCCTCACCTGCTGATTTTTTCCGTTCGAATGTAGGTCTGCCCCTTGGACGTCGTGATAATGGCAACAACACAGTTCTTGACATAATTTGTTCTGGAACCATCCAATCGGTCTCACTATGCAGTGGGTGAATGGGTTCAGAGTATGCCTCTTTCCAAGAAGCGCTCGAATACATTCCAGTGCAGAATGTGTAGCCGTTGCCATTCTCAAATCTTATTGCGGCAATGGCATGTGCACATGGAAACATATCCACTTGAAACTTCCGGCAAGTGCATAACCTTTCCTCCAGATCAACTATATGTCTTCCACCAACTTGCAAAATCATCGGGGATACATTGAGCACTTCTAGTCCATTAGACTCGTTGAAATTGTTGCGCATCTTCTGCTCAAATGGTGGCATAAGAATACTACTGCATTTTGTAGAATTAAGATTTCTATCGTAGAACCACTTTTGCAGTGTCGCCCGGATATGTTCAATAAGACCAAGGATAGGAAATTCTCGAGCACGCTTTAGCACAGAGTTCAACGATTCAGCATTGTTTGTTGTCATTATGTTGAAACGAGTTGCTCTAAAATGTGCTCTAGCCCAACGGTGCAACTCGGCTTTCTCGAGGTATGCCCGCATTTTCTTATGCTTATTGCATAATGCTGCCAAGTTGCTTTCGAAATGAGAATCGTGTAGGCTTCGGCTGTTGCCCAAAACAATGCGTCTAATTCCAACCTTGGAAACTCTGATTTTAGATTTCTCAACAGGTGATAGTTACAATACCCGTGATGTGCATGTTCAAACACTTCAACAAAAGCACCAGGAATGCTGCTTCCCCTATCTGAAACTATAACAAGATTTGGAGAATCACCTGTTATATCTTTCAACTTTTCAAAGAAGAAAGTCCAAGAAAGATGGTTCTCGGAGTCTACTATTGCCCAAGCCAGTGGATAAATTTGTAGATTTGCATCCTGACATGTAGCAATGAGTAAAGTACCACGATATCTCTCCGTTAAGAACGTCCCATCCACAGATATTACTCTTCTGATAGAAGAGCGGA